GAGATAATAAATAGAGAAATTAATATTATTCAATAAGCTAGAAAGGATAATTATCTGATCACAAACATCTAATTCGCTTTTTTTTTTTTTATCATGTGTCAATAGACAAAAAGCTTATAGGTAAAAATCTAGAAATCACAAGACAAAGTCATAAGATTATAATAACCAATCGGATAAAAAAGAGACACACTATTTCAGATGCCTATAAACCATACTCTACGTTGTACGTTGTACAAACTCCGTTCCTGGTATATTTAAAATTTCCCCCAGCATCAGCCATTTCCATCTTCAGCCACGACATATATTTATTTATACTGTGCCTAACAGCCATACGCAATATACGTTCATGGTTCAGCCTTTTTTAAAGTATTGTAAGATTTGATTTTCACCGGAAGTCTCGATTTTCTCCAGGAGGCTTTGTTTTCTCTGAATTTTCGCCATTTCGTCGGATCTAGTTTTCATATTTCACCTAACAACTACAAGTGATAGTATTTTTTCAAATAATTTCTTTATAGAAACTTAGATTCCCTAATAACAGTAACTGCATAGTAATTATATAGTAACTATATAGACGTAATAGTAACTATATAGTTACCACATAGTTACTATGTAGTTACAGCACATGAAAATATTCGAGTTTCTTTATATTGAATATTTGCGTTGTGCAAAAGACAAATATTTAATGAAAACTTTTATAATTAATGAATGATACGTGCAAGTTTTCTAGACTTAGCCAGCAAAGCCAACGTAAAACAATGAAAAAGTGTAAATAAAAGAAGGCATTTTTAATTTTTATTTTTTTAATAGTGATTTATATGATAATTGATAAATAAAAGTCAAAAATTCGTAAATTGTATGTAAATTATAAAAGATATGGAATATGATCGGATTGAAATACAAATTGAAAATGATAAAGGTCTGTCTGTAATTGATAAAAATCAGATAAAAGAATCGACACTATTTACAAAAAGTGCAGCAATTAGTCAGGACGAATCATTTTTAGTTATAATTGAAAGTATCAGTATGTTTTCTTACTTTGCATTAATATAATTTTACTATTAATAGGCTAGAAATTTTCATTCTAATTAAATTAAAATTAAAATTTACTTTTAGTGTTAGCAGTCGGAGATAATTATGATGATATCATAATACGAATGTATAACATAAGTAGTGATGAAGCGGGAAATAAGGATATTTCCGAAGCACATTCTGAAACGTTAACACTTACATTTACTAAAGAACAAGAGCAAAGTTGGTTGATGAAGTCTAGTTCTTTTTCAAGTTTGTCTATTGCTGTATCAAATGAGTATAAAGAAAATTTTAGATTGCTAGCTTTATCTTGCATAAGCGACGATGATATGCAAGCGCCTGATTCAGATAAAAAAAGTAGGTGCGGTTATACCAGAGTGTGGATGATTGGAAAAGATTTTAAAGCCAAAGAATGTAGTATAGAAATAAATGATGGTGGAATAATCCAGTTTATTTCTGTTGATGATGATTTCACGCTTATTTTGTTAAAAGGAAATGGAATTTATAAATATCGTTTACGATATTTATCAGATGTCATTAAATTTCACTCTGAGGTTTTAGTGTTAAGTTATCCGGAAAGAATAAATACTGCTTTAAAGTATAATTGTAGTGAATACATTAGTAGGTATATGACCGTGTCACATAGTGATATTGTGCGTAAATATCTTTTGAGATGCTTAAATAGACATTACTTATTAGTAGATACTTCCGGGAGAGATCCGAACAAGAATATAGAAATTTTTAATTTAAAAACTAATCAATTAGTGAATGTATTTAAAAGATAAAATTTGTTTTATCAATTTTGGATAGTGAAAAACCTGGCGCATTTACGATATCTAATGATGAAAATCTATTAGCATACGTATCTGGAAATGACCTTAAAATTTATTTATTAGAAAACGGTCTTGAGTTATCATCTTTATCATGTGAAGATGGCATGTTTGATGTGGAATTTATGAAGTTTGTCTTAAATGATGAAAAATTATTAATATTCAAAGCCGACAGGACTGTAGCAATCTGGGATATGTTTAATTCTGTTAGAGAATCTATTGAATTCATACCTTTGGAAAAAAGCACATCTTCAGGTTTAGCCAAGCAAATGACAAGAATAGTCATCGGCCCTAGATTAGAAAAATCAGAAAATTTAGAAAATAAATATTTTACGATCCTTAATATAAAACCATTCTTTGACATTGATGAAAATCAAATAGCTTGGGATAAATTAGTTCTAAGTGACCATTTGACAAGATTTGGTCTTGATTCAGATTGGATAGAACTAACTCCTTCTGACAGTAAAATCACTAACGTGAGACCTAATGCTTATGGGATTGATGAAAATGTTTCATTATTGGATTTGAAAGAATCGGAACTTAAGTATTACCAAGGAGTAGAGCCATGGGCCGTTCATCCTGCAGAAAAAATAATTGATCCTTATAGTAAAATGCGACCTTCGTTTCCAAGACATGTTATCTATCTTGATGAAGATAAAAAAATAAGACTCCTTATAGGATACAATACTATACAAGCTTGGTGTAATGAAAAGCTCGAATTTATTCACATTGTCAATGATAACCCCGATGAGCCAGAAGTACCTCATGAGAAGTTCGAAATTATCAAAATTAAATATGGTGTAAAAAAATTTGATCTTTTTATTAGTAAAGAAGAAGGAAAAGACATTCAAATAAATATAGAATTTGATGATGATATTATCTACATAGTAAGAAGTGCAATCGATGCGCTTATATATTTGGATAGTCAAAGTGAATCCATTAATCTTGCCGTAGGTGGTAAACGTATAGCATATAACGATATAGTTCAACAAACACGGAACATTATTACAAGATTTATCACTTTATATTCGAATCCTTGGAGACTAATAGATTTTCGTTATAAGCTAATGAGTAAATTTATTATTCTAAAAGATTTTCTACTCATAACCCGTATTTTATTTGGTCAAAGAAATGAATCCACTGATGGTTCTGAAAAATGTATTTCACAAATCCTTTCTGTGATCTCAATAAATGATAACGAAATTAATACTGAAAATGACGTTAAAACCAAATTAATAAAAATTAAAAACATTATTTCAAGACACACTTTCAGTCATAAAAATACAAAAGAAGAGAGTACTCTTCATTCGTGGCAAGTTTCATTAAAAGAAATTTTACCTGATGATGAAGGTTAGTTATTTAATTATTGATATATATAACGAATATGTTCTTAATATATATGTATTTATTTATTCCTAAACTTATTATACCCAGAATCGAATATCGATATGACAATGCTTACATTTTTCCTAGAATATTATTCAACCAATGCGATGGATAACATTGGATGGATGAACGTTGTGTCTGAAGTCATACCAGTATTATACGAAAAGGAACTCGATATTTGATAAATTTCAATTTTATTAAGTAATTTTCTCAATTTTGATTTAAGTAATTTTCTCTAATTAATATAATTCAGACTGGTACGCTCAGGAGTTTTTTTACAAGCCTTGTTTTGGTAACAAAATGTTAGATTTGTCCAGTTTCTACTTTCATGAGGTTAAGAAAAGCTCCGAAAATTCTTTAAAAGTTTATATTCCTATAACACAACTCATTTCTCGTGATACAAATTTAGTTTTTAAAAATATAAGGTACCGTTTTTTATTACTATTATTACTAATTTAAAATGATTTATTCTGTTCAAAGTGATATAAACTTATATTAAAATTATAGCGACGATGAGATTCCTTACATTAGGATGGTACCTTTGATTAATTTTGCAACGAATAAAAAAACCCAATATCCAATGGATGAAACTAAGAGAGTTATTGCAAGACTTTTTTTACCTGGAAAATACTCATCTATCGAACTTAAGGACTATAGCCTCTATATTTGGCTCTTAATGAAGATGGATGCAGCTGATGCATTTTATGATAACCCCTCAATGGAAGCCGTCATGAATTGGATGTGGTATTCTTCTGAATCTCATCGGAATCGCACTTTACAAATTTATCTTATATACCTTTTATCATATTCGATTATTTCCTGGGCATACATTACACATCTCGAGGTTACTGGCTTACTACACGTCCCAATGATCCTGAATATGCTCTTATTTTATTATTTAGCATATTATCATTTAGTAATTGAAGTGCACCAATATAGATTTTATAAGAGGGAATACGTCGAAGATTTTTTCAATTGGATGGATAATATTGCCACTTTTTTACCTACGATCCTCTCTTTTTATTTTTTGCTTGGTAATTTTAATATAGAGAATGGCTTTAAAGATGCCACATCTACTCAAGCAATTGTTTTACTCATTTTTATGAGCATTATATTTCTCTGGTGTGAGTTGGTATGCACATATTTCCTTTATCATCGAATGTGAAATGAGATTAATAAATTATCAAAATTCCTTTTATTATTCCGTAGGTTTTGTTGTTACACGTTTATCCAGGTACTCTAATATTCTTTTGAGCATTAAAGCATTGTTATCTATCTAACTAAATTTTTTTTTTTTTTCAGAATTTGCTAACTATCTCTATATAATCTTAAATATTATTATTTCAATTAGATCATTTTTATTGATTTATTGTATAATTATTATTGCAATGGTAGTTATAATTCTTAATTTGTTACTTTATTAAGTTAAATCATAATTAATGGCTTTCTTTACATTATCAGGGGCATGCGCTGTAAGATTTCTTTATATGTAAATTATTAGGAACATAACCTAACATATACAATGATATGCAATAGATTTATTCTTCTTAGCCATCCATCCTACATATTGATAATCCGTTCAAAAGTATACTTAGTGCTATAATTGCTACGTATAATTGGGATTCAATCCAATTTGATATTTGGGATTTTTGGTCCCTTGTGATTATTAGTGTAATTGGTAGTTTTTTTTATGTCATTGTATTGGCGAATGTAATTATCTCGTTTATGAGGCATGTATAACATGTTATTTTTTAATTTTTATTATTATTTTAATTCTATTAACTTTTATTGTAAATTTTTGAATATTAAAAAGTGACGCATTCGAAGCTGCGAAAGAAAAAAGTAGACGGGTTGTGTTCCAACTTCAAACTGACTTACTTAGAGATTATGCTATGCTCGAAGGATCTTATAGCAACTCCAAAACAAGTGACTATGACTATAAAGTTAAGGATAAGTTACATGTAAGGTATATATGCTTTTTAGATGAACCATCGCTCACAAAAACATGGAATGAAAAATCACATGAATTAAGTTCACGATGGTTCGATACATACGGTGTGATTTGTAAGCAAGTTATGGAATTGAATATCAATAATGATGAAGTTGGGTTTATTTGGTCTGAGTCAAAATCCAAAAGTAACCGATCGAGGAATACCCCTGGTGTGCCAAAAAAGTTTTACAGTAACATGTTGGATGCCATGGACAAATCTATGTTTTCCTCTGTGGAACGTCCAGAAAAATAATCACCTCAATGTATCTTAAAAATTTTCCTACACTGATGATGATGTGATAATTATATCACGAGCATCCAATCAAATTGTTTTTTTTTTGCAAAAACATTCATTAAAGAATATAGGCTAGCTTAAAAGATATGTTTAGAATAAAGTTGTTTCTTAAAAGTTTATTATAAGGAATAGGTTGTAATTATGATTTTTTTTTAAAAAAAACATTGGTGACTTGCCAGAAAATGTTTATTAGAGCTCAAATTACATAATTCAACTATATTTAATATACTTTTTAACAAACTTGAACAAAACCTAAATCTAAAAAAAACAACTTGTTTTTATAAAAAAATATATTATTTTTTGATGTATTTTGCATTTGAATATAATACTTGAATATTATAAGATTTTACTAGTTAATGTCTGTTATATAATATAATAAAAATGTTTCTCTTGTAATTTTACTCTAAACCCAACTCTAACCTTAATTCTACCTCTATTATAACTTTAATTCTAACTCTAATTATTATTGATATTTAATTTATAATAAGGTGCACATAGTGCATCCTCACCAAATAAATTTATTCTATAAAAAATTAAAATTATTTTGATATTTGTGTAAATTTATTGTAAGAATACATATTATTTGTTTAAATGAAATATTAGTTTGGTTATTCCCTACTAACTTATCCTATAGTTTTTCATTTAGTATAACCTTACTTCCTATATTAATTTCAGAGATCATTACTAAAATTGATCTCTGGATCATCTAATAGATTAAATACCATAATTTTTTTTCTATATTATCATCCACACCCAAATCTAGGCGAGTCTTGGTCATTCTTACAGGTTTAGATCATAGATTATATGTCTGAGTCTTTACTCTTCATATGTAATTTAAAAACCAACTTTTCATTATAAAAACTTCACTTGAATTTCAATAAAATTAAAAGCATAGTTTTATCTTTAATATTTAAAAAAGATAAAAAAATGAAATATTAGTTTGAGTTTGAATTTGGGTGGACAACTCAAATTACAATTATTTGGAATATAAATAACAAGTATAGCACTTATTATTATTATATACCTTCTTAGGCCCATAGGTTTGTGAAGTCATGTAATATTTAATTTAAAAAGTAGTAAATACAGTTATATAATTGGTTTATATTTATATTTTATAAATTAAATTTATTTTTATAATTTTATAGATGAATAAGAAATATTTTTATTTATATAATATGAACAAATCTAATACTAATTAATTTTTTGAAACTATACTGATATAAACATAGAACAAATAAATATAATAAACACAATTTAACCAAACCAAAATCAATGTTCAAATAATTAATAAGTAAATAATATTTAAAACTACTATAACCAGTTGTGTAAGTGCTATGCAAGAATAAAAAAAACTATTACTAATTACATTTTTACCACTAGTTGAATTTTCATTAGAAAAACCAACGGGTCCTGCTATACAACCTATAATATCTTTTGGTAGATCAAGAGAAATACTTGAATTCAGAACTAAAACTTGCATGATATATGAATTTGGTAAATCAGTTGGTGCATCAAACATGGCATTAACCCAAAATACATTTCTAGCTTTAGTTGAAGAAACAAGAGTGCTTGTAACATTTCTTATCATAAACCCTAAATCATCCTTAAAACTAACTAAACTGTTTCGTTATCCCCAATATCCTGACTTAGAAGTTCTGAAACACTGAAGTAACACTTTTTTCAGGAATTACTAGATCAGGATTTACACTTGCATCAACTTTATCCATACTGATTCAATTAACTTCACATGGCAAATCAAATTTAGTGGATCTTTTCTTGAGTAGAGCAGCATTGGTAACAGAAAGTGCAACCAATAAACAAAAATAAAGCAATAAAATTATATTCATTATTAATTTGTTAAGTTATATGATATTTAGCTGCAGTAATTTATTTTTTGATTACTGAAAAAATTGACTTCAATTTTTATATGATATTTAGTTGAGATAATTTATTTTATAATTATTGAAAAATGGCTTCAGTCATTATCTTTTTGTAAGAAATTTTCGTCTAAAAAATTTTATGCAAACTGTACTATATACAGTCTCTATTTAATATATCACTTATTAATACTTATATTAATATTTCAACATTGTTTAATGTGAATATTAAATTTTATTTGAATTTAAATAGCATGACTAAACATCTATATGAAGCGAAATAAGATTAAGTCAAAATTGTAGATATGAAACTAAATAAATACTAGTTGATGATTTATTATAATAATTAATGAATTATACTTACTGACCTAACCCGGTACATAAGATTTCCGGATGATGTAACCTTCTTTTTTGTTGGCAATTTCTTTTTTAATTTAAGATTTAGATACGATGCCCAATAAAATCTAATATAAATTTCCGAAATGATGAAAAGCCGAGACGGAAATTAACTTAAGTAAATGGAAATCTTGGCATTTTACAATAGGTTTTGTGCTACACCTGATCTTATAATTTGATTGGTAGGAATTAATCAATATAAGTGATGGTTACACTTATGTTCGTAATTAATTTAACAGATCAAATAAATTATACCGGAAATAATTAAAGTAATTATCGCGGTTTGCATACGTTGTAAGTGGGAATGAAATTTAAGTGGATTTAGAATTTCCCGGGTTAAGGTTTTGGTCCACTAATTTTCCCCAAGTTACTGTTGTCGTGTGTAAATCTCATTTCCAATTGGATAAAATCGACGAACTTTAATAAGATTCTCTTATTTTTTGAAAAGACTTATTTATCTCGAAATTTCGTCCAAGAAATCGTCTTTTGCGTACTAACAAAAAAAGTTTCTTACAAGATTTTGCCATAAATATTATCTATTAATTCTGACATTAATCTTAACTTTTTAAGGATAAATGGCATGTAATTTGATGCAAATCATTCCAGCCAATAGGAACTTGGAGAAAATTCATATAATGATTTAACTTCAATCAAATTTGTAAATCGCTGCACACTGGAAATTAGTGCTAGTGAAAATATCTAGTAAAATTAGCATAATAGCTAGTGAAAATGGCATAACTAGTAAAATTAACCAACTAAAATTTATTGTGAATTTATATTTTAGAAAACATTTATATAAAGTTATGTTCGTTAAAATATAAGAAAATTAACCTTGCAATACTTTTTTCAGTAAGAGCCCTCTAAAATTCAGAATCAAGCACGTGGGCGGACCGCACATTACATATAAATCCTGGTGCTATGCAGCGCACATAATTTTTTTTAAGTGTGTGCAAAAAAAACAGTAGCACAATCATTTTATATCTTCTTCATAATTTTTAAAGAGGACATAAGTTCGATATCAATATCAATAAATATAATTTACTTTTAATATTCGTATCTTGATCATTGACATTAGTTAACAAGTTAGTTTCATAATACTTTTCAGAAGTAAAACTGTCACGCCGAAAAACCCGAAAAGTGATCATCATAGTGGCCTACTTACCTAATTGGTAGTGCCCATGACGATCCACTTGAAACATGTTCGCCCGGCCCCAAGAAAGCCATATGACAGCACACAAGCCTCCATGTGGGACCCCACCACCCTCCTCTAATTAAAGTAAGGTCGATCTGGACCAACCTGTTCGCACCAATACGGCTGTGAATGGACGTTGACACCACTTTACCCTACTTGGGTTAGGTGTGAGGCGATGTCAAGGGGTGCGATTGTAATAATTATGTTGGGTTCTGGCCCCGGGACGAACAGTACTGAAACATTCTCATCAGTTCTATGACGAACGTGAGAAATGTTAAAGTCACGAAGACTGTGCTTATGAGGAGGTTAGAGGTTAGGACAAAAAAGATTGGAATTCAATGAGGGAAAGGAAGAAGTGTGGTGGCCTTGTACGTGCTCTTCTCGCCGACAAATTGTTATAAAAAGGGTGGAATTTCCCCCTCTTGAAAAGCAGTTCGAGTCCATATAGTTCAGAATCGTACCATAATATAGCCCAGCATAGTTCAATGGTATAGACAAGTGCCTCTATAATAATAATAAAAATTATTAATAAAGCCCCTACGACCACAAGTCACGCCCTTGTACTTGGATTAACCGTGCTTATAATGCCGATAATGATTATAATGCTTATATTCAATATAAGCATTATATAATCGTTATAAGATCATTGATATTATGAATTGTCAAGTTTAATTCTATCTTATCCTTAATACATATTTTATTATGATTTTTTTTTGATTTTAGCTTTTGTTTATTGCTTATTTTTAACTTTTCTATTAATCTTAATATGTAAAACTCTTGTCTGTGTTTGACTCCGTTTAAATCTCTGATAAAGAAGAACTTGTCTCTACAAAAAAAAAACACTTGTAGCTTAAAAATTTACCTATAAAGTGCCTTCTGTATACTAACAAAAGATTTTCGGTATTAAATTTTACGATAGCTATGACCATTTAAACCAAACACTAACCTACTGATGGGACTATAACCCTAAACTAATTGCGAACAAAGTTTTTAATAAGATTACATAGTTGAAGAAATTTTTTAGATGGTAATGCTTGACTTATAGATGGGCTGGGGTCGGTCCACATAACTATTGATTCTTATTACAAGTGACTCTCGGTAATGTGAACTCCCGATATAAGTATAATGAAGAAAAGTTTATACAAAACTCTCTCGATATAATAAATTTACCCAAATTGATTATCTTATAGGCTCTAAATATAGTGAAAACAGCCTCACAGCTGATCACTTCACTATAACGAGAGTCACTTATAGTATGACTCATATCCGAATGCTTGATCATTTGGCATTTTTTACAAATTCGTCCGTGTATTATAATCTAATATAGTAATCCATTTGAACCGCACTTAGTATACATGCTGGCAAAATCTGGACAAATCTCAAACCTCAAAAAAAATCAAGCTTATTTTATAAAAAATATATAGCTATATATTATTTGTTTAAATGAAGATTATTAATAAAGTTTTTGAGATATTAGTTTGGGCTTAAGTTTGGATCTGGGTGACAAGTATAGCACTTAGGCCCACAGGTTTGTGAAGCCATGTTATGGTAACGTCACCTATATAGTAATATTTAACTTAATAAAGTGGTAGAAATTGCTTTATTTTTTATTTTATGAAATTAAATTTATTTTTATAGGTTAATAGAAGTATAGAAAATAATAATTTAATTTCTTTTATTACTTTATTTAATACTACATGGACCTAATACTAATTAATTTTTATAAACTGCATCGATGTAAACATGAAGTTAACACAAATATAACATGAATCTAATAAATACAAGTTACCCAAACTAAACTCAACATTTCAAATAATTAATAAGAGCAAATAATATTTAAAACTACTGTAACGAATTATGTAAACATTATGCTAATAATATTTTAATTAGCTAAAGGATAAGAAAACTTTCGATATCACTAACTACAATTTTATTAGGTGAACCATTAAGACCACTATCAGGACCATCATCAGTGCCAACAACCGCTACTGTACAACCTACAATATCCTTTTGTGGATCGGGCGGATTACTTGGATTCACAACTAAAACTTGCATGAGGTATGAATCTGTTAAAACAGTTGGTGCCTCAACTGTGACATCTACTGAAAATTCATTTCCGGCTTTAGTTGGAGGAACAGGAGCGCTTGCAACATTTCCTATCGTAAACCCTAAATCATCCTTAAAACCAACTAAAACTGTTCCATTATCCCCAATATCCTGACTTAGAAGTCCTGAAACACTAAAAGTAACATTTTTTCCGGCAACTACTGGATCAGGATTTACATTTGCACGGATTTGTTCCACATCGGTTTCATTAACTCGACATCTCCCATCAAAAATGGTGGGTATGGGTCTTTTCTTGGGCACTGCAGCATTGACAGCATTGGTAACAAAAAGCGCAACCAATAAAAATAAATGAATAAATAAATGTCTATTCATTATTTATTTGTATAAGTTATATGATATTATTTTTGATTATTGAAAATTGCTTCAGTCGTTATATGATATTTAGTTGAGGTAATTTATTTTTAATTATTGAAAATTGGCTTCATTCATTAGCTTTTTATAAGAATTTTCGTCTAAAATTTTATGCAAACTATACTATATACAGTCTCTATTTAATATATCACTATACAGTCTCTATTTAATATATCACTTATTAATACTTCTATTAATATTTCAACATTGTTTAATGTGAATATTAAATTTTATTTGAATTTAAATCTGGCTTAGTAGCATGACTAAACATATATATGAAGCAAAATAAGATTAAATCGAAATTATAAATAAAATGTTTCTCACGACATTTTTTCTTAATGTTTCAAGATAGATTTGATACTAAACCCATGCTAGGTGATGATCTATTAATTGTAAACGTTTAAGCTATTTAATTTCAGGATTGACAATTCTTACGTGTCAACTGGGTCAGCTAAGCTTACTCAAATTATTATAAATAACCCGGCTTATAACTTGTAAACGGATGGGGGACATGAAGCTTGACTTTTATACTAGGTTCAATCTCTATACCTACTATTGCTTTTGATCTTGGTTTTTAGTGCAACTAGTTGCGCAATTATTTATTTTAGAATTTGATTGGCTGACAGATGTTTGATCATTAAAAGTATGATAATTTTATTTAATAAGGTAGTTGCGCAATGTAGTTACGCTAAAACTAGAAATGGAAGTTTTAATAATTCAGTAATTGATGAATTATACTAGGAATGGAAGTTTTACTAATTCATTAATTGATATATTATACTTACTGACCTAACCCAGTGTACAAGATTTCCGGGTGATGTGACCTGTTTTTTTGTCATCAATTTCTTTTTTAATTTGAGATTCAGATACGATAACCAATAAAACTTGTTTAAAAACATAAATTTTCCGACTGATGAAAAGTCGAGTCAGAAATTGCCTTATGTATAAAGTTACGACTATTGTCATAATTTCTGAAACACTTGCTCCTTACTTGAAATCTTTTTGGTCGTTCGGTACTAACTCTCCGGAAACTATATCGCTGTCTTCGGACCTTCAGCCCGAGGCAGTAATATAATTTCCGGAGAATTAGGTAATTTATCGAACTACCAAAAGATTTTGGGCAAGGTCAGGTGTTTCACAAATTATGTAATATATATCGATATATATTTGGATTTAATCATTTATATTCAGATTTGAACCAGAAAAATCTATTTACAACTTTGCTTAAAGGCTCAAGAGAGATTAACATTAAAAATTCCTATCATTAAATCTGAATTTATCTTTGAATCTGTTTTAGATTTATAGACAGAAGTTTGTCTGATTGGTTAATAAATTCAACTTAATTTTACAATATTTATACAGTCTAGAGTATTTTTTTAAAAAAATGAAACCTAATTATAATGAAATAAAAAAGCTGTATAGAAGGTTTAATTGGAGATATAGGACATTATGGCCAAGAATAAGATCTAATTCTTATCTGTTTAAAAAAATAGCTTAGTAATAAATTGATTTATCAGGTTTTAAAAAGTTATGATTATACTAATAAATGAGAATTAGATCTTATTTTTAACTATAATGTTTTACAGCTTTAATGAAACCTTCTACATAGTCTTTTTTTTTTCACTACAATTAATTTTCATTTTTTTTTAAAGTACTCAAACTGTATAAATAATGTAAAATTAAATTAAATTTATTAGTCAATCAGACAAACTCCAGCCTATGAGTTTTAGATATAAGTGTCATTAATAGAAAACAGCAATTCTAAAAATAGGTTTATTATAAATTTTATAATAACCCTATTTTTAAAATTACAGGTTTTTCTTTAGTGACACTCATATATAGGAACAATGTTATATGTCAAATAGAATTATTATAGATTTAGAATTAACTTAAGAGCAGAGTGTACTATTTTAAAATTATATATAAACTTAATTATAATTTTTTTTATATTGTTATGTTTAGAAAATTGTGATTTAGTTGTTCTACAATCTAGAATCTTACATAATATATGATAGATAACTTTTTTTAAAAAAGGGTGTTAGATTTGGCTAATAGGTAATTAAAGCTTTTAGTTACTTTATATCAATGAATACAAATAGCATAAGTTATATAAACAAAAACTTGAATGAATAATGGTATTTAGAGGAGTTATTAGAGTTATACTGGGTATAGTATTAGAATTTATTATTATTATTATTTTTTTTAATATTAATAATAAGGCCATGCCTCTATCTTTATTGAATATTTATTTGAAATTTTTATATAAAGTATAAATTTACTGTTAAAAATATTATAAAAAGAGTAGAAGCTCAATTAGTTTATCTGCAACCTAAACTAACAGGAGTGACCAAAGCTCATCTAGATTTGGTTGTTATTAATTATATATAAAAGATTAGTTTGGTATTTAATCTATTGTATATACCAGAAGTTAGTTTTAGAATGAATTAAATTAGAAAAAAGAGATTGAGATAAATGTGAAGTAAAATTTAAAATAAGTTAAAAGTAGAAGGATGAGATGTTGATCTTGAAATAAAGTAAGAGATCCAAATTTTATGATATATTTGTTGATTAAGATGAAGTAAAAATTTAATAACAAGTATTGTAACTAATTTTTTGAATGATAAATTTGAGATAATAAAGATAATTTCATATGTCACTAAGTCAGATAAGATTGAAAAGACTAATTGAAGGTCTATTGTATTGTATGTTGCTATAAAATCCAGTTGTCTAATTTGACAATGTAGTTTGGTTATCATTTCTGAAATAGTATCAAGTGTATTCGTATTTAGAGTATGTTGTAAAAAACTATCAATAAAATTGTATAGCAGCTAGTTAGATAAACATGTTATTCAATAAAGATAAGAACTGATTTCATGTTATTGATGACTAGTTGGTGGGTATGAGTAATATTATTTATAAAGAATATATAGAGTAGGAAGGTCATTGAATAAAATTTTAATTCTAAAAGATTTAAGAACAAAAGATTAAAAATAATGTGAGAAGTTTAAGATTTTTTTGATTATTGTTAATATACAGCTACATGGCATGCCAATTAATTTGATTAAAGATTTTATTCCATTTTTGAAATTGGTTTTGTGTAGTCCATAGTGCATAAATATGTGTATAACAAATTGTATGAATAGTTCTAAAAGAAAGGTTTTAAGATTTAAAGTATAAGATAAGTTATAAATATTGTAAGGTATAAAAGTTAGATATGATAAGTTGTAATAGTTATATGCCAGTTGGTCAGCAAGATTGTTATATTATTATCTTAATGTGCAGTGACTTTATGAAAAATAATTTGAATTTTATATAAATTAATAAAATTAATTAGTGAGTTCTATAATAAAAAGTATAATGTATATGTATAAGATAAGGTTGTAAAGGAGTTTAAAATACTTTGATATTTAGAAATTACAGATTAAAAGTCTGTATATATATTTATGATACTATTTCTAAGAACAGTAATGAGAGCAGATAGAATGGCAATAAGTTCAGTTTTGAATGAACAAGGCCAAAGTTTTGTTTGAGCTTAAAATATGTATAATATAAAGTTATTAGAAATTTGGTCTCATCCAATATCCATCAAGCATTGTGAAGAATTATTTTGTCTGATGTTATAATCTTATCAAATGAAATCTAGTCTTGGTTGTATTTAAGTATACTGTTTATCATTCAAGATGTATTAGTTTCCATATTATTGTATTTTCTTTGAATATAATAATTGATTTTTCTTTTTGAGCATTTTGAATTTCAAAGATCTGTGCTTTTCATAAGGTCTTTTGGAGATGTTTTAAGGATTGCAAAAAGAAATTATAGTTAGAAGTAATGTCTTGAGTTTGACAGGAATTGATAAACTAGTCTGTATAGAAGGATATTTATTGTAATAGATTGTTAGTATTTTGTATAACAGAATTTATCGAAGTTGGAGGTCTTAAATGTCTAATACCATTTAGGCATTTGTTTGTAAGTTTGAGAGCCAAATGTAATTTGGTTGCTTTAAGAAAGTAAGTATAATATGTTTTAGGAGCTGTATAAGCTTTTGGTATGATTTGGTTTGCAACTTTCTTGATTAAGTTTGACTATTTGTTCCAAATTTTGTTTAATTGTTGTATTGTTGTAATGTCTTGTATTGGAGGTATTGATTTGAATTCTAATTCAAGTGCATTTTTGAAATCTTCCTATTTGTCTGTTGACATTTGATAATATAAGTATATTTTTCTTTTTTTCTTTTTGAATTGAGGTAGTTTTAACTAAAAGTTTATTTTCCATATAATAACAAATATTTATGATTATTGTTTGTAATATCTACTGAATCAATAATTTTAGATAAACTAAAGTCTAATAAAATTTCTGAGTTGATCCATATGTCATCTATTTGGTTTTGGTTTGATCCTTTTTGTCATATAGATTTAGTTATTGCATAAAATTCTATTAGGCTAGTAGATGATAGTGATTGAAGTATAGTAAAAAGGTTTGATGTTTATTTAAGATGATTATGGTTATTATTAAAGTCTCCTATTGTAATTGTATGCCAATTATGGCTTCTTGCTTGTGATAACCAGTTGTTGACTATGTTGTGTATAGTTTTAAGTTGTTCTGGATAGTTTGATGAAAGGTATACAGAGATAAGACAAAGCTTATTGTTTGAAAGTAAATAAAAGTCAATGTTTATTGCTATGCCTGCTACTGTTTGTATGTTAGATATGTAAGGTTGAAGTTTGTAATGAAGCAAGATTGCAGTTTCTATACTAGCTTCATGTTGAAAATTATCTTTTGGTTCAAAATTGGATATGTAGATTTTGTAGAATGAATTAGAATGTGTTGAGACATTTGAATTTTTGAGTTTGGTTTCCATGATTGAGATAATATGATAATTGTTTTTGGCACAGTATTCTAATCAGATCTGTAGTTTTAGTGGCTCATTAAGTCCTTATATATTGTGAGTTACAATATTAAGA